TACCTCCTGATATACAAAGGCGTCTTCAAGACGAACTCCAGCGAAAAAGGTCCCACTTCGTTTGTATCGTCGAAGCTGTCATTTCTCAGGGCGAAAAGCTAAAAAAAATAATGTTCCCTGAAGTTCTGATCTCCAAAGGGACCCTGTTTTGTATTGAAGCTACCGTGTTTCAGTTAATATGACTGTTGCGAGTATCTAAGATACTAAAAATATCTGAGACAGCGACACTGTTCCGAGACGCTTGGTTCCTTCTGCTCATCATCCGTTTGGATATCCGTTGAACGCATCGCGTGAATTGGTCAACTTCAAGACCCGCTGACCGGCTGGGAATCAGTTGACTGTCCCAAGACACTTCGTTAGCCTCCGAATTATGACACTCTTCTGATTTGCGTCTTCTGATTTTTGACCGATGGAATCATTGAAATGACCGATTCTTGACCTGTTTTACTACTGCAGCGTCCAGAGAATCACTTAACTTATTTGTAAGCTTTCGGTGCCACGTACTGGTCGACCTGATGTCTTTTTTACTTCACAAATATTTCTAGACATTTTCTGCTCTTTGAAAGCTTCTGATGGTCATCTGTCCGTCTCGAGTGTCCTTCACCCCCTTTGTTCCCCCAGCTGTCCACGGCCTTATGGCAGATTCAGGTCACTTTGAAAATCTCGTAGCTCTTCGTTTGTCGTGGATCATACAGTACCTTAAGCTTTAATTACAATCATCATTGGATCCTATGTCAGCTTTCAGTTAGTCCTGGGTGTCTCGAGGTACCTAGAACACTTCTGGTTCTGCAGTATCTTCGTGCCGTTATACACAGGGGCCTCTTACATTCTTGCTCGACCTCATCGACCCGGGTCTACTTCTAAGCAAACCTCTCTTGGGTGCTTCAGGCTATTCTGTCTGAGTGTCACTTGACTGTTTCGAAATTTTTGACTAGTTTGGGACCACTCAGCTGGTTCCGGATCGCTTGGCTGTTTGCTGCCTTTGTCGTTCTTCAGCCATTGTGTTACATAAGGGACTCTCGATCATTTTAGGTGATCACAGAACGCTGTTAGTGCTGGACCTTACAACTTTTATAGGTCTCACCGCGGTCCTGGGATCCGTCATATCGGCCGCTGTACCAGCCAGCACTCCTGATCGTCTCAGGGCTCTTCCGTCATCGGCTGTGACATCTGACCGGCGTCAGGACGCTTTGCTGCCTTTAGCTCGTTAGCCGTCGAGGAACCCGTGATCTTGCCAGGCTCTATACCGGCCCCGGGACGCGACCTAGGACGATGTTCGGGCGCCAGGCCAACGGCTATCTTGGGTCCTCGTACGGTATATGGCCCTACCCGTTCAGGGTCTCTGGTCGTCCTCGTCCCCAGTCCTCAGTACAATTGGAGCTCCTCAGACATCCCGACCGTGGGGTTCGGTCAGACCCAACATCCTGGCGCTCACCTCTTGCCTCGTCCGAATTCATTCTGGTTCCCTGTGCAGAGTGGCGATTGAGCAACTCATTGCAAGCTTATGTGACCTGTCAGGTGACCCAGACGTCATCAGTGTCACCACCAGTCCACTTGCGTCGCTCTACCCATATCCTCTGAGTAAGTGCAGTGTTGTTGCCGCTGATCTGTTTTGCATCGCTCAGAAATACTTCTGACGAGTTGCAACGGTGCATTTCTTGACAAACAATGAATAAAACATTCCACAAATTGTCTAACGTTCTTTGTTCTTCTGGGTCCCAAGAGTCAGATTCCAGAACCGTTCTGTAATCGCTTGACAGGGATGAAAAACAACGCCCTGAAAACAAAATTGAAGGAAAAACACCTGGTCAGTCTGTAGAGCGCTAAGCGCGAGCTTCCAACGTAGAGAGTTGTCTCCCGCTGATGGTTACGGAGGCTTGGTGGGATGAGGACCCTTAAAAGGACGTCCCACAGTAGTATGCGAGGAGCAAGCCAGGCGTCTTCGAAAACAGCGGTTGGGCAAAAACTAGGTCCCACTTTCGGAAATTGCATGACCTCCTCATGTATATCTTGGGCTCGTTGCGTTCGAACCACAGCTCATGCTGTGGTGAAAGGCCCACCTACGATAACCTTGCAAAGCTTCAGCTATTTTTGGTGACACAACCCGGCTGTGATTGGTGGTGGTGCTTGGTGGAAAGGGATGCAGAAATAATTGGCATCGCTTTTATTTGCCCGTGGCTCTCAATTAACCTTAAAAGATAAGCGCCTGAGGAAAAATCTAGCGTCTAAAGGCATATTGCTATTTTTATGTATGTTGATTTTTGGCCATTTTGGCTTTTCGTCTGATTCCATCTGACGTTGATATGATACGTCTCCTCATGCTGAGTTAGGTTATTTAAACCATCAGTTGAAATTTTCACAAACTTTTAACCCTTTCTTTTGGCTAAAAGTTTATGAAAGTTGCAGTTTTTGGCTTCAATATCAAAATCAAGCATGAAGAAAGGAACCAGATGGAATCAGAAAAATCAGATGGAATCAGAAAAACCGCAAAATAGCTGGAAATGAATATATCCGGTTTTACCTCTGGACGGCAGCAATCAGGTGAGTGTGTAGTTATTTTCATGTGACGAAGGCCATGCGGTGTTATAGTATCCAGTTTAAGGCCTGCAAATGGGTGCGCAAAAGACTGCGCGAGCCGGGTACAAAAGCTTCCTTCATAAAATACTCGAAAAACCGACCTAAGACGAGTCATGAGCTTGGACAAACTCAATAGTTCGGAAGCCTTTCACAGTCACCCTGCACTGCGCGTTTAAAGGGTAGGGGTAGAGGGCGGTGAAAGGGTGCCACCTTTTAGGCCAAACCTTCAGCAAGTCACTACGCGTCTTGATTGCGTTGCTTGAATCGGACTGCAAGCTGCAAAACCTCAACCAGGATTTCTTGCTGCCATTTGAGACATTCCGTTCAAAATGAGTAGTTTTCCACGGTTCCTTGATGCCAATGCTTTGAAAAATTTTCTTACTGACTAGAACGACGTTTTTCTTAAGCATTGCCCGATTGTATTGGATTCACCTGGGGCTAGGGCCTTGTTTAGACTGCTACGCTTCAGCTCCTACGCACTGGCAGCTTCTGCAGTCAGTCGCAGATCAGAGGTCAAAGGGAATGTTCCAAATTTTGAAGATGTCGAGGCAAGCATCACATATGATGAAATAAGATCAGTTATAATTATTGGTATACTTTCAATTGGCAAGGGCTGCTCAAGACAATGTAATCTCTTTGTTCAGGTAAATATGCTCCTCAATTTGTCACTATTTGATTACGTCATTGTACCCTGAATAACAATGACTGAGAGAGAGATCAGTGACGTCCGTTATATCTGGAGATCATACTCAACGGACGTCAAATATGAATGACTCGCCAATTTCATTTTTATTGGCCCCGATCACCACATGACAACTGAAATGACAGTGTTTGAATGACGTTATGATGGCGTCATGGATGCCTCTGTGACCTTGAAATAGTCTCCACGAAAAAGTCTGCACATCTTCGAGGGCATATAGCTCAGAAACTTTGTATGTGTTGAGAAGGGTAGGACCGTGAAATGTACAGAATGATCTTCAAGATGGCTATTTCAGTTAAAACCCCACACAGATATGGAGCACTCCCTTCAAAGCACGACGTCAGGCCGTCTGTGAAGTAGATTCATACCGAGCGCCAATAAGAGCGTCTAATTGGCCTTGACCACCCGCATGCCCTCTGTTTCAGATTCTGCTGCAGGCGCCTTGGGAGCAGAACATGCTTAACGGCAGGGTCGCATTAATAGCTCGCTCTTTTGTGGTCAAACGCTTTATGTTGCCCCAGTCCCCCACCCGCGGTTCCGCGGTCCCCACCCGCAGCTCCCTCTCTAACCTAGGAAATGCCTAATTCCTTAGGTAATTGATTCCTCCCATTTTTCATTCATCTCGATTGCTTTCCGTGCATGGTTTTTGGTTCGGGGCACTTGCTAGGGTAGATCGCTGTGTGTGCTCTGAACCCACAATCCAAAATGTCTCTTTATACCGTTCGATCCAGTTCCTCGGACATTTTATTGAACATCCTTCTTTCCCAACAAGCTTTGTACATGCCGTACAGTGCTGCTCTGACACGACCGCCTGGGGTCTTTGTAAGTTGCCAGCTGGGCAAAGCAATCCATCCCAGATTCGCGCCACTACTGCTAGATTACGAACCTGGCATTTCACCTCCAGACCATGGGAACCGCAAACGCCGTGTGCAGTGCACTGCTCACATTTCGCCCCTGTCATGTTCCCAGGTTGGAACGGAAAGCGCAGATTTGCAAATTTGAGGCAGCCTAGATCCTTTTACAGACATAAACAAAATGCTGTGAGCAAGCTAAACAATACTTAGCTTGGCCGACTTAGTGTCCAGCCTGATGTCTGTGATGTGTGCTAGCTTAAAGTCGTTTACATGTGTAAGTGATCCTTGAGTGATTCGCGATGTTGGTTCATTTGAAATCGCTTTCATGCATAATTGATACGCGATAAATGATGCAGATTAACTTCAACCAGCTTGCATGTTTGACTAAAGCATGGTGCGTGATGCCTGTTTACTTGAATTCGTTTGCATGGACACGCATTTTGGCGCGTTCCAATTCTTAAATGTGCACTATATTGTAGTAATGGATGGCAATTTCTCCTTGTTTAATCCCCTGAATGTTGGTGTTCTGTAAGAACTGTGTCTCGCTGTTTCAAAAAAAGAACATGAACAGTCGAGAAGGATCATGGGCAGGAAATTTTGAATCCACTTCTACTATTGTTTCGATAAGGGCACGTAGCCGAAATACCAACCCATTTATATCTCCATTCTCCTGGTTTTCTCCGAGGAACGAGACCATTACTGCTGTCTTATCTACGAGCTCCTATGTTGTCCAATGCAATGATGTTATTTAAACATCCACGACTGCCAGCGTCACTATAGCCAGAAAGTGCGCTCGGCACTGACCCACGATTTCTCTTAAGCACGTGAAGGTGCTGGTTAAACAAGTTTGCTAAAAATAACTGACACTGGTTTTAATGATACCAAGCTCTGGTAAATTCGAAAGTCAACCGCAAAGCCGATATCGGTAAAATCTCGCTGCTTTTCTCAACAGTGTCAAGGTACGACTTGGCAATTCCGAGTTCTCGTGACAGGCAGCGAGCTAACATGATGGAGTTTGCAGAACTGAGTCTTCCATCCTCAAAGTGTTCTCAATTGCTCAGACTGCTTAGACTTGCCAGGGCCCTGGAGGTTTTAACTATACCTCTTTCTTCCAGCTTCCTGACCCGCTCCACCGTGCTTGTCTTCCAAGAATTTTGGCGACGTCTGCGGTGGCCTACGCTGTAAAGCTGCAGGTGAGGACGTCGTGCTTAGCCATGGAAACTAATCAAAACTAATGGAAAGATTACCCACACAAAAAACTGACTTCACCGAATCGTATGCATGACGACGTACTATGTATGTGGCTTTTTGTCACGCAACCTATCGGCCAGTAATCACAAGCAGAACGTGTAAAACATTAGTTGCTAACGTTTTTTATTGAAATTTGTGAGTATCCTCTCCTCTTGGACACCCTGTACTGTGCAGTATCTCGTCTGAGATGTCGATAGTTGTAAGGAACCCTACAGCCACCAAGATCAAAATTGCGGAATCCCACATCCTTACTAGTCGAGTTGCAAAAGTGTTAGCACAACAAGGTTACCTGCCGTAGGTTGTTCACGAAAGTGTGTTCCAAGTAAGAAGAAAAGCCAACTTAGCTTAGTTGATGTTTATGCAGCCTTCAGCCTTTTTCAGAATTCAAGATGCGGGTCACCGCCATATTGCATGCAAATTAATTTGCTTCTTTTGATCTGGATGACATAGATGTCACATTCTACGACAAATCGATAAATCAAACGGTCAGTCGTGCAGCCTTACCCCTCGGATTATGATGAAAATGGGTCACAGACGTTGTCAGCGGCGCCAAAGACGCCTGTAACATTTTCAGTTTTCTCAGTTGAGCAGTTTTAGCGTTACATGGCTACATTCTCAGGCATTTTCATGTCGTGTGGTTGTAGGGCTACGTTCGGTGGCGATGCTCCATTACGATGAAAGAAAATTATGCAAACCTATACGTCAAAATAATTAAAAGGCCTTCCAGATCACGTGTGAGTCGTGGTTGGAATTCTCATTGCAAAAAAAATATTGACTGCAATTATGAACACATGTAATGCATGCAGAATCATGTATCTACACGAGTTTGTATCTTTTCTGATTCGCATGTGAAAAAGCGTAGTTTGAAACCTATAATCCAAAAATAAGGAAGGCGGCAATCGGCTTTGAAAGGTTTGGAAATAATGTCAAAATAAGGGACCACGCTTCATTCATGCCACCCGCTGTCGGCTACTGGCGCAGTACCTTCCACACGTCTCACCCTCTGCGCGGCGGAAAATCAGCGCCATTATGAGACGACACTAAGCTTAACAACACGATGGCTCACATGTACGTGGAATTCGACTCAGAGCATTAGTGACTCAGTCTAACTCATTCTAACTCATCAAAACCCTTGAAATCAGGCAACCGCTACATCCCTCCAACACCTCACGATAACATACGGGCAATGCCAGTCTAAGCACTCATTTGTCTTAATCTGTGAACCTTAGGCGTCCCTCTGACAGCCTTGACCTGAACCAATCTGATGGTAAGCTCATCCTCTACCCAAAGGATTTCACGTCCCGGTAAGAAAAAATGTGTTGTCTGCACATTAGCCACGCCCTGCGAGAAATGGCATAGCTTCCCAGCAGAGAGAACATGATCGAATGGAAGCCCAACAGGCTGGCAGCACTCCGCGTTGAAGTTCTTCTCATGAAAACAAATGTCAACAAAAATTGAGCATGGTCTCGTACTGCACAGCCCATCTATCTAAAAGCTGTGCCCTTTTTCCAGATTGGTAACGAAGCGTTTCAGTTCGGGTAAAAGGTATTCTAGAAACGTTTAGACTGCAATAGTTTCATGTCCCATTGCGTCTGACAGTGCGCAATAACTTGTATGCGTAATCTGTGCAGGTTCTGGTCGAGATACCACAAGAGGCAGCGTGCCGTGCGGTGCATCGCAGTTTGACTCCTGAACTTCCTCTTGGACGACGAAAGTGTAATTTTCTGAAAGCCTAAAATGAACAAAGCTTCGTTCTCGGGTAATTGTTTTTTTTTAAGTCGTAGAATAATTTATTATGGTGCTGGGCTGTTAAGTGAGTGTGTCTGGTTAGTGCAGCCATGGCTTCGAATAAGTTGGCCGAATGCTCATCTATTGGCGGGACAAGTTCAGTTAAAAGTACAGCGGTCTGTGCTCGCCCGTTGGTTAAATCTGATTACATGAAGCAAATGAAAAATTCCTCTGCTTGCGCATTGACTGCGCCAATCAAAAACGATCTCACACCATCCTTACCCGGACATTTCTCACACTCCCACATCATGCATGATTCTTTATGAACATCTTACGTCGTGACTCAGTAGATCCTTATAGGTTACGACTCGCAAGCCAAGAGATCGCACCATAAGCTTTCCGTTGTGGTGAAAACAGCACACGCAAGCCGCGGAACTGCCGCTGCTAGCCATCAGGATTGTTTCGGGGTAACTGCCGCTTTTACCCATCAGGATGTGTTTCGGGGTAACTGCCGCTTGTTACCCATCAGGATGTGTTTCGGGGTAACTGCCACTGTTACCCATCAGGATGTGTTTCGGGGTAACTGCCGCTGTTACCCATCAGAATGTGTTTCGGGGTAACTGCCGCTGTTACCCATCAGGATGTGTTTCAGGTGGCGACTAACGCGCTTGGAAAACCATACTAATGGGCTGCTCTCATATTCCTTACACAGTTGCTGCGTCTCATGTAGATTGTCTAAATTAAGTGTTTTTCCCCCCATCGCCATTTTCGCCTCCCGCATTCACAAGATCCTCCTTTCTGGGACACATCCTGAGAACGACATCTGCGCTGTAAAACGAGACAATGTTTCGGCTTTCCTCCTCTCCCCTTCTCTGGTAAAGTCCCGTGTTCTTCCATGAGTTTAATGGTACGACGTGTCATGTACTGCGTGGCTCCGAAAAAATCCGCGTTCTTCTCTAGTCGTAAATGGGGACAGCGCAAGAGCCCGCAGGCGGCGCTGAGGGTTATCAGTCCTTTGGTGTTCTTCTTTCAGCCATTCACGGGGCGCTCACAACTGAGACAGCTGCATGGAATAATGTTTGAAATGTAGCAACGTGGGTTAAAAACATGCATACAACTGTTTTAGGCGCAACGTGTATTTGTTTTGTAGATCAAGCCAGTGTTAGCTTCTCATGCCATGAGAAGTCACATTTATTCACGTCAAATTTTTCATTTTATATCCGCGCGGTTGTTAAAGAAACAGTCATCGGTTTGTAAGTGAGAGAGACCGAAATGCATGCGAGGAATATACCTCTTCAAAACGTTTTTCTTCTCTAGCCTTGTCTCTTCGCAGCGGTGGCATCAAAAGTCAGAATATATATGCCGAAAGATTGTTCCAGTTTAAGTTAACGTAACCTGGTTGCCCTACTCAACGCATCTGCTCCTTTTCTCTGCCTCTGTGATGCAACTAGGCCTTTTGCAGCGAAACGAAGCACGTTTGCCGCGAAAACGGTATTCTTGAGAGGGAGATATATACCTGAAAATAAGCTGGTCCTTATCCTTGTTGCACAAAATGTGTGATAATAACTCCATATCAGCGCCCGTCCCCTGCGGGTAAACGTATAGGACAGTGTTTTAATTTTCACATTTATCGCAGAAGAAAAACTGACCGACCCGGTTGAAGGTTTTCGAAAAAGAAGATGACTGAGTGGTGAACAGCAGAGCATTAGCACATATAGGCACTGACTCCGATGCACTGGGGTTTGTTGAGACCCTCCTGACTCGGTCATTTTCTCCGGCTATGTCCGAGTTGCGATAATCGGAGCTCCTTGAGCATCAGCTTGAGCTTGAGCTTTGTCCCTGGGACTGGCAGCTGGATAACTTGCATTCGGGTTTCGCAAGAGGTTCCGCGTTACTATCCGCAGGAAGGCTTTCGGGGTCATTCGTAAGCTTGGTGCGACAGCTGCAAAACGCTAGTGTTAGTACTAGTTATCTACGGATCTTGGACACCATTGACCAGTTCTTTTAATAAGTTCCTGAAACTTCATCGTGCTCTCGTTCTGTGCTTCTCACATGGATGGGCACAACTGGGGTTGTTTGGGCGCTTCATTGTCGCAAAACACGCTGCAAAGGCACCCATGCGCTCCAGCAGCACAACAGGCGCTGGCCCAAGATGCGATCACTGGGCCTCTGTCTGACTTCCAAGTCGCCCACATGAACGAGAAACATCACCCTCGCAACAGTGCGCGCACCCACCTACCCATTCCCTCCTTTTTCAATGACACCAGCCCGATAGTCCACTTCGGGGTATGGATGCCACCGGCCGCGGCGGTGCGCCGCGCACCCAGTCTTCGTGCGTTACGCATGATTCCTAGGTGTACGGACCATTCATTCTCAACGTGGATGACCGAAATGATAATTTTTAGAGTTTGTGGACCATGTTACACACTTCTGCATACAAGTAAGAAAAATATAAGAGAATTGTTAGTTGTGCCTTGCAAAAGCTCAAAATGCCCTGATCATTGTTTGTTGTGCAATGATGCTTTCAAGAATGGCATGCAAGTATTCTGGACAATTTCTTGATCACCTTAACCTACAAGCTTGTCAAGTTGTCCTTCAAGCAAGTGGAACAAATTGCCACCAAAGGTAGCTTTGGAGCAACGCAACTCAACATTGCCAAAGGCTAACTCCAAAACGTGCAACCAAGATATTTTGAAATGCCATAGGTGACTTGAGTGCTGATGACAGCTTCTTAAACCCAGTTTGGTAAAAATCAGAGGGATGAGGGTGTAAGAGACTTATCGTTTTATCATGGAATGCCACAGTGGACTATCTATACTTTGAAGTTGGTATATTTAGCTTCTTAGTTTTGAAGCATCAGGGCGGTCAAATTTACCCTCCCCCCAGCAATGCCGTATTTTACCGGTCACCCGGGCGCGTGTTAAATCGTCTCATCTTGCAACGCACTTAAGCCCGTCCCGATTTAGCACCTGGGTAGAGCCCTTCTTTCCCATTCACAGACCTGTGGCGGGGTGGGGTCGAGTTGCTTCAGGCGTATGCTATTTGTCCTCGCCTGGGACCGCCTGCGGCCAGTGGCAACGGCCGCACTAAAGGTCAGGTGAAGTCAGGCCAGAATGGACCGTGCCTAGCATTGTGACAAGTTAAGCTTTCGCCACAAAGTTTTGCCGCCGAGCCGAAATTTTACGATCGTGTCAGGGTCCACCAAACAAACGCTGCTTAGAGTGGGCGCTCATCCCAGAAATACACCGAATCAAAAAGTTCGGATTAATTCCGAGAAACCGATGGCTGCAAGGATCATACCGCATTATAATTTCACACACCCCGTGACTGGTAAGAAAGCGGTCCCTAAATCATAATGGGGAGTGCGATGTGTACCTTCTGATCCCCAGTCTTGTGAACTTAGACGTGCTAAACTATCCCTTCTTGTCCGTGAGAACAGTTACACAGCGCACTAAAAGAGGTATTCTGGTTGTGCCGCTTGTTTTCGCCTCAACAAAAGATCAGGTTCGCAAAGAGCTCGTAGAAAGGTGAAATAAACAAACTGCGTCATCGTAAAATTATCGTTTATGCACGATCGTCCAGAAAAATTAACTAACGTTTTAGCCAGCAGGGAAAAGTATATTTTTTGCGCAATGGAGACTGCGGTGGCATTGAAATATCTATTTAGTAGCAAAATGTGATAGCAAAAAATGTTCATCATCTGTACTTTCATAATTAAATCACGATTTAACAGAAAATGTATCGTTGAAGACGAGAACGATATCTGGCCAACATCACCTCAGAACGCTACATCACCACCGCTTTCATATCCTTCTGGGCGGCCCCGGGGCAACTTCACGGACTGATTGGGACAGGCAGTGGCTCCGGCAGGACGGGACGACGCCGTACACTGAATGGGCTTTGCTGGATTGGCTCGAGAATCATTTCGCTGGAATGCACATCAGCTTAAAAGGCTGCCGTGGTGTGGCTGTGCTAAAAGGCTGCCGTGCTGTGGCTTCTCACTCACCTGACCTGGCGTCCCTGGATTTCATGCCGTAGTATAACACCAAGCCAGCAAAGCCAAGGCCGTATAAGAGAGATCAAACCGTTCGGCGGCTCTCGCCTCATCTTCACTTAACGTTAGCTTGACGTCACTGGTAACGACACTTCCCTGCGTGGCGGACCGTCAGAAGCCAAAGGTATTGCTGAGCGACAACCAGTACATCGAAAGACTTGCACATATAATGAAAAAGTCGTTGGTGGAATATGACCAACGAGCGGTTAACGTTTAATTTTTTGGTGGATACGATGACGTACTCTGCAAGCCCTTACGGTACACCATTAAAATGCAATGAAATGATTGGCGGTGACGCACCCGTGAGACTTATTCGCAATAGGGCGGCTGGGACACCAGGCTGTCTTTGTTCCCATAACGAGCATACTTTCAGCAGCAGACGTATGTGAGCAGCAAGCCAACTGGCTAGGATGTAACAAGTTTGATGGCAAACGTGACAACTTCAACACGCGCTCAGGTGTGGGGTCAGTTTGACCACCCCAAGATTTCATAGTTGCCGGTCACTACATAGCGGATCTTTTGGTACACGGAATAAGATGCAGTTTGTAAGGTCGCTGACTTATGACAGGTCAAAGTCAGGCCGTGGCTTTAAGGAATCACTTAATCTGATGCGAAAACAGAGTGTTGGAAGAAATTAATGAAGGTATATTGACCTAAGGACAGGTATAAAAAACAGAGTAAGGTCCAAAACAGTTTGCTTCTTTACTGGAGAGTTTGCTACATGGGTAGTTTCTGGTACTTATTTCAGATTTATTAATAACAGAGATCACAGCAGACATCTTTTATGGGCTGTTTAAGGGTTAGAGCAAGTCATGGACCTAAAATGCTCCAGATGAAGGTTTTTTGGAACATATCGACTGACATTTCCTTGGTGCTTATTAGAGTGCAAAACTCAAAGCAATGTTATAAATTTCGTCACAATGAGCTTCTAAAATGAAAAAAGGCCAATGATCATAGCTGAACACTAGTGACCGTTTGATAACAACTGATATCTAGGTTCATTGCGGCTGCATGAGAAGGTTCGGGGTCAATGCGGAAGTCATCCCGACATTTGACCTTGTTTGATTTTATTTGACCGAAGTTGCATGACATAGGAACCTCAAATTTTGATACACGTGAGTCAACATACAGGTCAATCCACACGATGGACGTGGTATCTCTAGTTCTCTTAGTGACTGAGATATCAGTGGTCAAATGAACCCGCCCACCACCACCACCCGAGCGAAGGGTGTTCAATAGGTCACCCGGACGCGTGTTAAGCGGTAAGCGATTATAACGCACCCCGGACCTTATGCGACTTTGCACCCGTGGTCGAGCCGCCGCTGGTGGTGCGAGTGAGTGGTAAATGTGGCGAGTCTGTTGTCTGCTGCAATCATTTGTTTCCGTAGGATGCACCAGATTCCCGTCAGATGCGCAATGCACAGTCCGTACCTGACTGCATTCCTGCGTGCTCGATCTGCACCCGTCTGCGGAGCCGGCCGTGCTCTGTCCGTACCTGCGCGCGGGGCCGACAGTGGTCGGTCCCTACCTGAATGCAAGGTCATTCGCGTGTGTCGAGCCACGGTTTCGTTAGTCGTTAGTTTTGTTAGTTTCGTGTCGAGCCACGGTTTTGCTGCGTTCTTGGGACGTTTATATGCGTTGCTACGCTTAACCCCAAAGTAGCATGCGGGTAGAAGTATGGAGGAGCGGAACATGTGTATTTGTGACAAAGCTATTTGCACACTGAAAAACGTTAACTCTACAACTGATGAATCTCTGTGGGTTTCATACGGATGCCAGCGTGTTTCAACAATTACATTATTTCACTACTGAACATAGTTTGTTTGGCCACGGCCCCGATAATGTGGACACGCAAACTGTTATAGATTCAAAGTCTCATGGGAAGCACACGCCTCTGTATGAGCTTTGCTCATGGCTGGCTGAGCAAGGCTCATACCGTGCCGTTATTCGGCCGTTCTGTCTCGGACGATTATCGCGTGCACGTTTTCTCTTTTCATGCAACTACATTTTAATGGTTAGCGTCTTAGACGCGCAAAACATATCATAATCTTCAGCATGAAATTCTATGTTATCAGTTCGCTAATAATAAGCACATCCCGTTCACGATCTGTTCATGAGCAGTGTCAAGGTTTCCGACGCAGCGCTCGACACAACGCTCAACACAACGCTCAGCGCAACGCTCAACACAACGCTCAGCGCAACGCTCAACACAACGCTCAGCGCAACGCTCAACACAACGCTCAGCGCAACGCTCAGCGCAACGCTCAACACAACGCTCAGCGCAACGCTCAACACAACGCTCAACACAACGCTCAGCGCAGCGCTCAACACAACGCTCAACACAACGCTCAGCGCAACGCTCAGCGCAACGCTCAACGCAACGCTCCGGCTGACGCGCAGCATCGCGTCCCGCTGCTGGCGTCCCGCGGCTGTCGTCCAAAGACGACACGCGGCCAGCTCGTTCTTCATGACGAGAACGCCTCGCCTCATCGCGGTGCTGTTGTGGCAGATACTCCGGCTGGTAACGACATCGAGATGCTGGAGCGCCCTCTGTGCTCCCTGACTTTTGCCCCGCGTGACTTCCAGTTGTTCCCTCAAGTGGCAGATTTCTCCCGGTTCCATTTTTCAACGCGGTCCGTGCTGGTATCGGCCACATTCCAGCATGAGGAATGTTTTCAGAGCTTCAGTGAAACCATAAAACGTCTGGTGCGCCGCTGCCAGCGCTGCTTTGAAAAGCAGGGAGAACACAAAGAAACCGAGCCCTCGTTGATGGTGATCAGTGACGTCAATAAATGGGCTTCTTACAGGCAAACGGAGAATGCTTTTGGAATGCACCGGAAAAACTTAAACTACTGCATTGAGTCAAGGCCGAGCCCGTCGCAAATTTCAGCACCACTGTTTACTAAGTGCCGAGAATCTCTGGTGAAAATGCATAGTTAAAACCCAGTTTCCCATAGAAATTCCTAAGCGGAAGCTATTTAGGATGGACATGGGTTAACGTCACTCTATCTCAGGCAGTCGCGGCTACCGCTGGTAGCTGTGGTGTCACGCAGGTCGTCACAGTTGGTGATGGTAGCGCACCGGCATCACATCTGGTGGTGGTGATGATCCGGCTGTCCCAGTTGACGGGGTTGACGGGATGGACGGCAGTTTCGCTGGCACCTGTTCAAGCGCCTGCTTCCCGCAGTCATGCCCAGTGACGACAGTGACGGGTGCACTGTTGGGCACGATGGACCATCACAGGCATTGTTATTGCTGAAAGCCGGTGCTTGATTGACATGAGCATTTATTACACGATATTCATCGTTATGTCATCATTCACCATACACATTGAAAGACGTAGAACATCGCTGGTCGACGTGTGGGAAAAACAAAGGGAAGAGCGCCATGATGAGCCAAGCGCTGCTTTTGGTGTTGAAATATTAGTTTCGCGTGTGATATGTGCTAGCATGCTGTTTGTATATGTCAACAGCATTGGCTAACGTGGCATAAAGCATGAATGTTGTAAAGCAGGTACAGGAGGGGCGGGCCAGGGGCGGATGGGACAGACCAAGAATAGTGCGCGGCCGACGGTGGCATATATTTCCATCCGGACAGGTTCCAACAGATCGCTTATTGACAAAAAAAAAAACACCCAATGCATCCCAACAAAGCTAACATAGTGCAGGCACAGGTGCAAATATTGCGTATTGACGGTAGCAGATACCCAAACATGGGAAGGGGCGAAAGCTGAGATTGGTCACTAGCGATGTCATCGAGAGCAACTCTTTCCATCAAGTAACCGGACATTATGAATCTTGGGCTGCTCAGCCCGCCGAACAACGTATTTGACTCGCTTATGGCTGTGCAACCAACGATCGTGCCGCCGTAAAGCTCTTAGCAACAAGTGCCTGGTACGATTTTTTAGAGATGTGTCGTCATATTTGTATGACCCTTGATGCAATTTCTGTGGCAATGCAAGTAAGATGGCCCATTATATATATATATATATATATATATATATATATATATATATATATATATATATCTCTCTCTCTCTCTCTCTCTCTCTCTCTCTCTCTCTCTCTCTCTCTCTCTCTCTCTCTCTCTCTCTCTCTCTCTCTCTCTCTCTCTCTCTCTCATTATATTACTCGCAACGCATTGCACAGAACAACGGCTCTATCATCAGACATACACTTTCAGTACACTTTTCTTTTTAAGAACATACACTTTCAGTGTAAACCATTTAGGCTTTAATCATGCACAGGCAAATTGAAAATACCACACAGACATATGCAGTTTGACACGACCAACCCCAAATTCTACAGACATGTATCATTTCATAACCGTTTGAAGTATATATGATGAAGTTATGTGATGAAGCGCTGGACATTTCTTTAACACGCGCTCGGGTGAGAGGTCAAATTGCCCCCCCCCCCCGAGTTTTTTCCAACATGGTTTCCGAACAATGCGGCGTAGCCGCGCCAAATTTTACATAGCCGTGACAGTTGAATAGCTGATCGTTTGAAATAGCAAATGTAGATGTACCTTGTAAGGTCGTTGACCTATGGCAGGTCAAAGTCAGGTCATGGTTTCAGCCAAGGCAATTTCTTGGGAATCGTCCAATCTCATACAATAACGGAGTGTTTGACGAAGCCATACATCTCTGAGATGTTTCTTAGGCACTACAAATATTGAATAAGCAAATTACGTTGATCTAAGGTCAGGTATGAAGGTCAGACCGAAGTCGCAACCAACCTGATTTGTTACTCTAGGGCTTGCTGTATGGAATAGTTTCTGGTGCTCATTTCGAATTTATTGACAGCAGTATCCGCATCATAAATCTTCCATTGACTTCTTAGAGGTCAGAAAAAGCTATTGACTTAAGATGACCTAGGTCGACATTTTGCTTTTATGAACATAATGCCTAGCGTAATTTTTGTCGCTTATTCAAATGCAAAACTCAGAGCAGTCTTGTGTTATTTTGGTCACCATGACCCTCAAAAGGTCAAACAAGGCCACTGACCTCAAATGGACTTCTGACCTCTGCCTTAGAAGCAGTTTCCTAGGTTCTGGGGGCACTCTGGTGACCAACCTAGAATTTGACCTTCTTTGACCTTACTTGACCTGAAGGTTGTAATCTAGGAAACTCACACTTTGGCCTAAGTGAGTTCACGTACAGGTCAAGATATCCTGCAAATTTGGTATCTCTAGCTTTCTTGGTTCTTGAGATCTAAGGGGGTCAAATTATTGACCTCCCTCACCCAAGCGAAGTGCGTTTAGGTGGCCACCCGAGCGCGTGTTAAACATTATATGCACTCCAAGATTTGTAATCAAGCGAGTAATATGTCATGCCCACGACACTAAAATGGAAAGCCAAAACTGGGATGTCACATGTAAATGAATGTTCTCATGTGGGGATGGGTTAGGTTTTGCTAGACTTTCTTTTCAAAACTTTCCCGTCAGGATAGATGAAGCTAAATGCTACTGCACGCGTCTGTGCGAGTTCCGAAGTGTAGAATCCAGGCAATATGCCCCACATGAGGCTCAACTGAACTCGTACACAACAGTCGATTAACAGTATTTAGGTAACCGCTCTTTGTGTTTGAAGAAGGAACCTACTGATAGAAATTAATTAGAACATTCCCATGATCTAAAAACAAAAAGAATTTCGACAGGAAGCTGCTCAACTCACGTCTGAGGCTTTCACAATCCAAGCCAAAGTACGGCAAAACAAAATATTTTGTGAGCTTCGGAACGCACGTAACGAGAACGTTAAAGGGTCTGGGCCAGGAAAGATATCTAGAATCGGGGAACTTACGGATCAGTAAATTAATGCTGATCAAAGGGAAGCCATTGTTCCCGCAATGCCTCTTTAAATACTCGACTTCAGCATAAAAGAATTAATAAGTACACACAAATATATATGTATACATATAAATATATATATATATATATATATGCATATAAATATGCATATATATGTATATATATGTACACACATACACACATATATATATATATATATATATATATATATATATATATATATATATATATATATAGAAGTGTGCGATATGGGGCGTGGGTGTGGGTGTGCGAGCGTGGGCGTCGGTGTGGATGTGGGTATTTGTGTTGCACAGCACCACCATTCAATCCTCTCCCTGATAGGAGGTTGATGCATCCCCTGCTAGACTTTTTTAGAACACCTCTCCGGCATGTAGTACAATCGCGCCTTAACTTTCAGTAGCCTATAGGGCATCAACTGCGCGTGCTTTGGCACCAAAAAGTATTATTAGGTCGTCTGGTTTCGCGACGCGGCGAGCCAACATTATTCATGTACGGTGACATCCATCAAAATGCATGCTCCGAACGCCTCTCCAATGCACGATTGGACTCAGCATTGAACAAGAAAAAAGGCCTGTTCAACGGTCGTGTCGCCACAAGGCATATTCTCCCGGATATGATGCTGCGCAAAGCTAAAAAGTGCGATTTTCTGTAAGATTTAACCTTTGATGTGGCATAATAGGGTCAGTTATTGACAAAAGCACACAAAAACTAACACTAATCGGGTGATCTTGCTGAGATCAATCTACTGGTTGCTTTCTGTAAGCTCCATCTTTATTATGTTTGAAATGTCGGAAGGCTGCATCAACCTCCCCCCTCTCATCCGTCCGCACCATGAAAAACGACGCATCAGGGTGAAGGTTGATCTCCCTAATTCGATCAGCATGGGAAACGGAGAGTTCATACCGAAAAAAATAATTCAGAGTGACAACGGGCTCTGAACTTGGCAACAAGGCGTCGAAGCGAAATTAGA